TCCTGATATTCCATTTCTGATCCAGAAAAAGACGAACAATTAAATTATCCAAAAAAAAAAACAAATAAGACAGTTTTGTAGAGGAGAAAGAGCTTTTCCGAATGAATGTATACGCTTTGCTGAAAAACGAAATATATTTTTGTAAAATAACTCTAATGCGAAACTCTACGAACTTATGTTACAACCCAATAGTATATGTATGCACTTGAAACGTCACTATAAATCTGAATAAAAGTCGAATTTGGAGCGTATAACAAGAAGTGAGCAATCAGAGCCAGAAGGACTATCCTATAAACTTTGATTTCGCAAGTCCTCCTAATTCCCTATGGTGTGACTTTTTGCGAGCCTAGTTGATAGGGCAGGATCCCTAATATTCAACTTGAATAACCCTGGGGCAGTGGCATTGCTAATTGTCACAGCATATGTAGTCCATAGAGTTCACGACACTGTTCTGAGTGGTGCAGTTGAACTGTGATGATGGTGAATAGCTATTGTAAGGATTTCAAATAGCCATTTGATTTGTTACCTTTTATATAAAATCTATGATCAAATACGATAACGGCGAAACTTATTTTGATAGGTTGATGCATAACGGAATCCACGAGCAAAGAAGTTTCGATTCTTAGAGGCGATCCACACCTTGACGTCGGCCATCAAGCCCTCCATTTTGTCATAATTTCTGTTCGTTAGCCAATCTTTCAACGAACGGTTGAAGTGATAACTCATAGGAGTTTCTGTCGGTGAATATGGCGGATTCTAGAGCAGATCCCATTACTTACTTGGCTTGAATGACTGTCCATCTTTAAAAGCTGGATTCTGCCACCTTCTAACCCTTTCTCGAGGTAGTAGAGGATAATGTAGCGAATATGAAGATGACTTTCTAGGCACATTTCTATTGAGCAAAGCGAAGATTATTTCTATCAGACCACAAATTCAATGTTTAAACCGTATCAATATAGAACCAGCCAGGAAAACCCGCAATAATTATGCATAAACTTAATATTTCCTATGGAATCCCAGATCTTCTGCCATAAAGCAAGCCCTAAGGAACATGTTCCAAATGGCGGTGACAGGTATGTTGTGCAAAACATTCTGCTCCTTCTCCTGGGATTGCCGTAATCGTGAACAAGTGAACAATTGCCTCCACAAAAGTATCGGCACATACTATAAACCAGTTTAGCTGGCCACTACACTACATGAGTGGCTCAAAAACTGATAGCTCCTACTGATGGCCCATTATTCTATGAAAGATCAAACATTCAGATGGATTTGCTTGATGGCATGCTTCATATCTTGTTCCTTCTCCATAAAAACGATCGATATCGACTGATGGCCCACTTCTACTTAATGAAGGCTAACAACAACCAGGAGTGGACCATCGATCGATACCGATCGTTTTTATGAGGAAGGAACTTTTAATGGCTTGATGTTAGATCAACGAACGATAGCCAATTATGAACTATTTTGAAAGTGAGGAAAGAATTAGTAACTCGCTAACTTAGTAATAGTTCTCAGCCCATACCAACAACTACCTATCATTAATCCTTTACGACAGCCAGCAAGTATTTCTCTTTCAGGGCCCCTCAGTATTTCTAATCCCACGAACATGCCTGAAGAGAATAACCGAGTGCAGCTGAATAGAAAATCACCCGGTCAAGTTTAATCTGCCTCTGTGCTTCCCATCTGATTACTCCTGGTAGTTCAAACAGTTTCC